CATTACTTTTTACCAAGAAATTTACGAAATCAGAAAATTAAAAAAAAATTTTGTGAAAAAAAAAGAATTAAAAATATTAAAAAAAAAAAAAGCAAAACAACCTCTCCTGACGAAATTTCGTCGGCACAGGTGTGCAGACCTCTCTCGACGAAAATACCTCTACCGACGAAATTTCGATGGGAGAGGTTTTCTTAAAAAAATAAATATAAACTTAGTATCTTTAGGTCAATAATTTATAAAATAAAAAAATATATATTTTCAGTCATTGAATAATATCTTAGCCTGATTTAATTCCTTTCATTAGTAATTATGTTCTAACTATTATTTCTCTAGTGAATAATACTAAGTCATTTTATTTTTTAAAAAAGGACTTCTTTACAACTTAACAGTTCGGTCGCTGTATAATATATTAATATATATTATTTTTATTCAACAACATGTGAGATTTTTTTTTTTGGTGTAACACTTGAATTTTGTGTGCCTTATTGAAACTTTTGTTGAAAAAATATTTATAAAGAAGAAAAAAAAAAAGAAAAAGGAATCTTAGTAAATTACTTATTTTCGTTTGGGTGTCTTATTTAAATTTCTATAGAGCCCAAGAGCCTATAATATTTTAATCGTATAGACAAGCGGATATACCCTTTATGTACCATAATATGGATTTTTCTTTTTTAATCACTTGGATTAGTAATTACGTCTTAGTTATTATTTACTTAGTGATTACTAAACAAAAAAATGGAAACAAAATAGAAATACTATTTATTAAGTAATATAATTAATGAAGTTAATTAAAATATTTAATACTAATTATTCACTAAAGAAATAATAATTATAATATAATTCATAATTTAACTGATTAAACAAAATAAATAAATAAACCGCGTACAGCCGGACGGCTATACTAATTCAAAAAAAAATCAACAAACCGAGTACAGCCGTTCGGCTATACGATTTAAAAACAAAAAAAACCGAGTACGGCCGTTCGGCTATACTATTTTAAACAAAGAAAAAAGCGAGTACAGCCGTTCGGCTATACTATTTTAAACAAAACAACCGAGTGTAGCCGTGCGGCTGTACGATTTTATTTCATTTTATTTTTAAAAAAGAGGACCTCCATTACGTTTAGGGCATTACCAAGGTATAGCTATTGTCCCCTTTTGATTTTTTACTTTCCCAGAGTTATTACCCGTATAAAGAATTTAGCATTTCCCCATTTAATACTCGTATTATACACGTTCGTACATATTTTTCAATAATACTTCCGTTTTCCGTATACGTTTTAAAGACTCGTTATAATGAACGCAAATGTAAAATACACATATTGTATAAAGTACGCACGTATTTTAATGATTGCTCAATATCAAAGAACAAAAAACAAAGTCCACAAAATAATTCAAAACAATTCATTACTATTTACCAAGTAATTTACGAAATCAGTAAAATACTTAAATTTTATATTTTAAAATTTTAAAAAAAATTTGTTGTGAAAATAAAAGAATTTAAATATTAATTAAAAAAAAAGCAAAACACCCTCTCTTGACTTTATTTCGTCGGCACAGGTGTGCAGACCTCTCCCGACGAAAATACCTCTACACACGAAATTTCGACGGGAGAGGTTTTCTTAAAAAAATAAATA